GGTGCTTAATAAGCATTCATGTTTTTTCTCTGACTTCTGCCTTCTATGAATATTGTTTAACAGTTTCATGTTTTCTTTTCCTGTATTAGTCATCTATTGCTGTGTAACAAATCACCCCAAAACTTAGTGGCTTACAAGAACACTTTTATCTCAGCTTCTGTGGGTCAGGATCTGGGCACAGCTTAGCTGGGGACCTCTGGCCCAGCATCTTTCACAGACAGCAACCTCAGCTGTAGTCATCTCAGAGCTTGACTCAGGAGATCAGCTTCCAGGCTCACTCATGTGGTTGATGGCAGGATTCAGGTCTGTGCAGTTAGCCTGACGGCCTCAGTCCCTCGCTGAGAGGAACCCTTAGAGGCTGTCCTCAGTTCCTTACCATCTGGGCCTCCCCACAGGGCAGCTTGCTTCATCAAAGTGTGTGAGCTGAGATGGCAATAGAGAGTCTACCCACATGACAGAAGTCACAGTCATTTATAACCTAACCACAGAAGTGACATCCCACCATTTTTGCTGGATTCCATTAATTAGAAGCAAGTCAGTAGGTCCAGCTCACACTCAGGGGTGAATTCAAGGATGTGAAATCGGGGGGTGGGGATCACTGGGGCCATGTCAGAAGCTGCCTACCACATTTTCATTTTCAAATCCATTCATTATTCAAAAAGTGGGAACTGAGTGCTTACTATATGCCAAGGACTGTTCTAGTCACTTGTGATACATCAGTGAATAAAACAGACCAAATTCCCTGCCTGCAGCAGGGAGAGGCTGTTAATCACGTGCATGTACGTTTCAAGCACCAATAAATGCTATAAAAAGTAGGGCAGGATAAGAGCACAGGATAAGGAAAGGCCTTATAGAAAGGGGACAGTTGAGCAAAAGTTTACCTTCACAAGAGGTGAAAGAGTTGGCTACATGACTATCTGGAGGAAGAGAAACCAACGCAAAGACTCAAACATAGGAGCATGCCTGTATCTTCCAGCAAGACCAAGGAGGCCAGTGGCACTGAAGGCTTTGGGGAAAAAAAAAAGGAGGAGGATTGGCAATAGATGTTAGCTCAGAGCCAGTCTTCCTCAGCAAAAAGAGGATTGGCATGGATGTTAGATCAGGGCTGATCTTCCTCACCAAAAAAAAAAAAAAAAAAAAGTACACAAAGCACCAAGTGTACAGCTCAGTAAATATTTACAAAGGAAATATACCCATCAACCAGTACCAGATGAGGAAACAGAACATCACTAGCCCTCCAGCAGCTGTCCCCATGGCCCCTCCCAGTCATACATCCCCTCCTCTACAAAGTAACAATTTTCTTGACTTCTATTGCCATATGCTAATTTTGCCTAGTTTCAAACTTTATATAAAAGGAATCATACAACATGTTCTCCTTTGTGTCTGGCTTCTTTTGCTAAACATAATCTATGTTGTTGCTCATGGCAGTTTATTTTCATTATGACACACTATTCCATTGTATGGATATACTACAGTTTATTCAAGCTTTTGTTGATGGATTTTGGGGGTTTTCCAAGTTTGGACAATGCTATGAATATTCTTGTACACATCCTTCATTATATATTTCTGTGACTGGCTTATAGGGTGGGTTTATACTCAGTAATAAAAATGCTGAACCATTTTCCAGTCTGTTTATACAAATTTAAATTCCCAGTGGTGCCTTATGTGTTAACAGGATTGCTCTGGCTGCTGCATTGTGAAGTGATTGTACAAGGGCAGGGGTGGAAGCAGGAAGACCAATCAAGAGGTTTTGCAGTAATCTATGTGTGATAAGATGGGGCTCAGCCTAGAGTAGTAGTATTAGAGATGGTAATAAGTGGTTGGACTCTGGTTATATTTTAAAGGTAGAGTCAACAGGAATTTTCTGACAGGTTGGATATAGAGGACAGAAAAAGAGAAGAGACAAAGATGTGTCCAAGGTGTTTGGCCTAAATTAACTTGATGGATGGAACTGTCATCAACTGAAATAAAAACCTGGCATTCTGGTTTGAGAGGGAAGATCATGAGTTCCATTTGGGCGTGTTACGTTTGAGATGTCTACTAGACATCCAAATGGATATGTAAGGGAGGCAACCAAAGTTCAAGAGAGAGGTCTGAGTCATTGATATCAACTTGGGAGTTGTTGGCAAATGATGGTGTATTCGTCACGGTCCAATCAGCAAAGAGAAACCACAGTAATTTGAACAGGAAAAGTTTATATTAAGAATTACTAACTACAACAGGGGATTGAGGCAATGAGGCATGGGCTAGTAAGAAGAGAACACTAAAGAATATAAGAATAGCAGATCTGAGGAGCAGCCACTACCCTAGGGTAGAGATAGAGGGCCCAAGAAGAAACCCCTGCCCCTCCACCCCCAGCTGAGATCTACACCTCATTGGAGGGCTATGGCCATGGCCCACTGGTGTCAGGGGAGTCCCTGTAGGGTTGCACCAGTGGAACTTGTTGGAAATCCCTCTCTAGGTGCTGGGGAAAGGGAAGGTGTCTCAGGAGAGTCACTCCATGACAAAACTGCCGGGATGTGGTGGGGGAGAGGGAGTGGGGCACTGCTGGACACTGGACGCTGCTGGCCACCATGTACTGAAGGAGCTGGCCCTGGAGAAGTCACCCACCTGCAGAAGCCTGGCCAGGGAGCAGAGCAGAACCAGGAAGAGAGACTGCTTACTCCTGCAAAATCTCTTGATGCCCTCTACTGACAAAACTTAACATGCCAGTATCAAAGGAAAAATATTTAAAGGGCCCAATTCCATTGTTGCAGAGTAGGCAATGAAGAATGAATTTGTAGCAGAGACACAATCAATTGATAACTGATACAGATGGCATATAAAACCACAAGACAGAATGAGATCACTCAGGGAATAACTATAGACATAGAAGAGAAGAGAACCAAGCTGAGCCCTATGGGCTCCAACTTAAACAGGTCAGGCAGGAGTGGAAGAACCAGCAAAAGCCATAGAGGAGCAGCAAGGGCTATAGGTGGTGTTCTGGGAGCAAAGTGAATCTAAGAGAGAACAGGAGGAGAGGAACCAGAGAACATATTGACAATTCTTTTGTGAAATGTTACTACAAAGGGGTGCAGAGAAAAGGTGTAGTATCTGGTATAGAAAATGGGGTGAAGAGGAGTTTATTTTGAAGATGAGAGAAATAACTGAATATTGTATGACGATGGGAATAGTCCAGTAAAAACTGATATGTTGGGGAGAGAACAGACTGACTGGAGTGATGCCCTGGAGATGATGGGATCCAGCATTCAAGTGCAGGATGCCTCTAGGTGGACACAGCAGTAGTTCACCTACAGTAATAGGCAGGCAGCAGAGGGGGAGAAGGGTGGACATGGTGGTGAAAGTCTGTGGTGGTGGGAGTCTCCCCTTCCCTTTTCTTAGTGAAGTAGGATGCAAGGAAGGGGGTTGGTGGGAAGGACTGTCGAGAGAAGAGGAGGTGTGAAATAGTCATTTGGTAGTATGGCATAGGCCAGGCAAAGTTAGAATCATTCAAGTGAGGGTGGTCAGCATGGTTCGGGTTTTCCTCCAGCTGTGTCTAATTGCCCTGCTGTAGCATGGAGCAGATGGAGAATTGGGTTTATCTAGGGCTTTCATTTTACCAAGCAGATGAAGTGACAGGGAGGTGACGGAGTTGAGAAAGTATGCAAGAGACTGATGATAATGACTGACTATGGAATTTAAGCCAGCTTAGTAGGGAGGGAGAAGAAGTCATCAGGGAGGAAGGCAGTAAGATCTGGACTGGACATACTGGTAGGGTTACAGGGGTTTTTGTTTCAGGGCATCAGAGGGAGTAACCTGGAAAGATAGGAGGTGGTGGTAAGAGTGGGATGCTTCAGGGTTGCAGTCCTCGGACCTGACCAGGTCTAGGGTATGACCACAGGAGGAGTGCGAGGCTGATGTAAGGCAGAGGACAAGAGTGGGATTCATGGAAACAAGAGGATGTTAGAAGGATTATATACCTGTACACTGAAATCTCCAAGAAGAGGGATGGTGTCGGAGAGAGTTACAAAATTATAAGGTCTTCACAGAAGAGGGAAGTGTGTACCCTACAGAATAGCCTCCCCAGCACAGCAGTGTATAGTGTATGCAGAGTGAATACCTGTGGGATGCTGAGGGAGAGAACAAGCTCGCTGTGAAAAGGCATGAAGCATGGGGGTCTCAATTACAGAGTAAGTAGTGAGAAGAAGGGGTAGAAGTAGCGAGCCTCCGGAGCATTGGTGGGATCACACTGAAAAGAAAAACCTCCAAGATAAGAGGGAGATAAAAACTGAAAATGTACCTAGCTTTGTAGACACGAGGGCATCACAGTTCACCTGAGATGGGGGTTAGATGAACTCCAAGGTGTCCCTCAGGTGGGAATGGGCAGAGCCCTGGGAAGGCAAACCTGTGCTCGAAGAAAACTGAAAGAGGCTCCGTTCCCCCAGAGAAAGACCCTCTCCCAGGGACAGAGGAAAGCCCAGGCATTTCATGCTGGGTCAGAGTTTGTCCTGGTCCTCAGAGTCTGTCGGTCCTGGGAAAAGAGGGTATTATAGCGCTAAAGAAGCCCGAGAAATCTCCAGCTCTGTCATCTTTAAAGAAGAGCAAGCGGACGAGCCAGAGCGACTCCCAACCAGGAGAGACTCCGTTAGGCCAGTCGGGCGAGGGGCGTGGTGTGTGGGGCTTTCGGAGGGGGCTGGCGCGGCGACTCGCCGGTAACCAAGACTAAATATGTTACCTCCGGCTTTTGTCCTGCACCAAGGAACGGCGGCCAGACCGCGCTGTCGCCGCGGCCTCCGAGATAACTCTGAAGTGCGCAACACCCGCAGCTGTGAGTCCCCACGCGCTATTTGCCGCGGGGCCCGGCCAGCGTTCCTAAGACCGGGCGGGGCTCCAAGGGGAGCGCACAGCGCAGATGCCGCCTGCGCCGGCCCTCAGCCAATCACGGGCCTTCCTGCCGGCTTTCCCCTGAAAGTCGTCCCTCTGCCGGTCTCTTTCTTCTGCCTGCTTGTTCCCCGCCGGCGTGTAGAGGCCGCGCTGACGGCGCATTTCCGTTTCCGGCGCTGTTCATGCGGGCCTGAAGAGCAGTGGCAAGTGTGAACTCGGTAACGGCCGCGGGCTGGGGGAGGCGGCGGCTGTGGGGTCCTTGGGGCTGAGGCTCTGGGAGGATGTTGAGTCGCGCGCGTGGTAAGGTCCTCCCTCGCTCCTCCCGGATAGTCTTTGCTCCCGAGGAGCGCCTCATGCGCTGGACAGACGTGTTTCGTATCTGCCGGACAAGTCGTCTGAGGTTGTTGGGGGAGTGGCTGAATGAATCGGTGCCGACAGCCCAGACGGGGAGGGGAGGTGGCGGGGAGAGGTGAGAGGTCGTTTCATGGCGGCGTAATCCTAGCAAGTGACTTAGACCTGATGTGTTGACTCCAGATTGTGCCCCCTGCCCCCAAAGGAGAAAGGCATCAGTACAAACTAGGAATCAAGGTGTAGTGGAGAGGAAAAATAATGTCTCTGAAATTACACAGATATTTAGTTTGGAAGCGTTCGTAGAACCCAGCTCTCCTAACTCCTGGCCAATGTTTCTTGACATTTTGCTGGTATATATGGACTTTCTGTTTCTACTGGTGTGTGTCATTGGGAAATCTCTGACTGACCTCCTACACTGCAGCATTCTGATGTGGCTGTTAGTGCACCCGGAAGATATTTGGATTTTCTCCACTAGTCACATCATAGCTGTAGCCATCTCCTAGCACAGTGCCCAGCACATCATAGGCAGACATAAATATTTATTGAGCTGAAAGTAATTCAGTGCTTAATTGAATGAAGTGACCCCTCCCCCCTTGTTTTTAACCAAGCGCTCAGACTGTATGCAGCCTGATTTCCTAAAAAACTCACTAATCCGGTGGTTCCCAATTATGGGCCTTGAATTCCTGGGACGCTCAGAAATCATTGTAAGGGTTTCTGCAAATCCACGTGGTCTCCGGGCATCATCCAGAACCAATCCTATCTCACACACTTGGTATTACTGATTTTTAAATGTGTAGAGATGATTATTATAATTTAAAAGTTACAGAATCAACAAACACTAAAAGTAATACTGCTGTCGTGTTGGAGGGTTGTTAAAATACTTTAGTTTTTTTAAATAAAATATTTTAAAAATAGTTTAAGTTTGGAAACCACTTCATTAGTCCAATTGATATTTAGGCCTGAGCTGTCTGGTATGGTAACCACTAGTCACAAATGGCTATTTAAATTTAGAATTGAATTAAATAAAATTAAAAATTCAATTTCTCAGTTTCATTAGGTACATTTTTCTCAGTAGCCACATGTGGCTAGTGGTTGAAAAGTATGGATATAGAATATTTCCATCATTACAGAAATGGACAATGCTGATGTAGACACTTATAATGAATAAAGAGTAACCTAAGCAGAGATAACTAATCTAATTTATAGCATAACAGAGAAAAGTGAAATTGGGGATAATATTAAGCAGTTTCTATCCCTGTTGGGTGAACAAATACATCTCTTCCTAAAGAAATAAATGAATTTTACTGTTTTTCCTGGGTATTATCTGGATTGTAAAATGTTTCCCCTACCCATACCCAATTCTGTGTAGGTTAAAGTTACTTGAGAATTGGTAAAAAGCCACTATGGAGACTAAGGACCAGAAGAAACACAGGAAGAAGAACAGTGGGCCCAAAGCTGAGAAGAAGAGGAAACGGCATCTGCAGGATCTCCAGCTTGGGGACGAGGAAGATGCCCGGAAGAGAAACCCCAGAGCTTTTGCAGTCCAGTCTGCTGTGCGGATGGCTCGGTCCTTTCACAGGTATGTTTAGCTGGAGTCTAGTGATTCTTCCATTTATTCTTTTTAAACAGTAAGAGCCTTTCCAGATGACGTTGGATTCATGAGTCTCTTCCAGCTCTGGAGGACATGTTGATGGTGCTGTATTTCTTTTACTAACACGTGAGAAGTCTTTCCTGTGGAAGCCACCTTGCCTTCAGCATCTGCACACTGTTTAACATTTTTGGCCCAAGAGAAAAGCTTAAGAGTTTTTCTTTATAGACTTTGTTTGTTTGTAAACTTGAAACAATTTCTGTGGTAATAGGTGTGCTTGTATTTTTTTCTGGATATGTTTTATATAATTGTAATATGTAGTATTAAATAGCTTTATTTAATGAGTCCTTATTATATGCCAGACAGTGTACTTTAAACATTATTGAATTGAATTCTGCCAGTAGGACAGCCAAATGTAACTCCAAAGCCTTTGCTCTTATTCAGTATCATACACTGCATCTGTGGTGGCCTTTTTTGTTTTGTTTTCTTTTTAAACTATTACAATCAACTAATAAAACTATCAGATTTAAGGTATATATAGTTTTTAGCAGTCTGTACTGTTGAAATCAGTCTGTTAATATATGTACTGAGGTGTAGTTATTTGGATTGGAGCCAGAAGTTAACTAGTCACTTGTCTCCGTATGTTGTCTCTTCTGCTGTCTTTAAAATCTTAACTTATAAGGATGATGCCTTTTATATTTTAAAAGTGAATTTACTTTTGTTTTGTTTTTTTTTTTTTACAAATAGGACTCAGGATTTGAAGACAAAAAAGCATCACATTCCAGTGGTTGACCGAACTCCACTAGAGCCCCCGCCTATAGTGGTGGTGGTGATGGGGCCTCCAAAAGTTGGAAAGAGCACTTTGATTCAGTGCCTTATTCGGAATTTTACCAGGCAGAAGCTGACGGAGATCAGAGGCCCCGTAACAATCGTGTCAGGTAGGAGGGTGCTACCGCAGACTGACATGGCAATTGTTGTCATCTGAGGGACATACATGTCTTTGCTGAACATTTTCTTGACTGGTAAATGTTAAAGTAATATTGTCACTTCATATTACCTCTCTTGTACTTATACTGGGTTACCTGTAGCTTCAGAAAAGGATAGATTCCCAGAGATAATAATGATGTAGGTGCATACGTTATTCTGACTCCTATATGAATTTGCCAAGTGTGCTTCTCTGAAAGGCTTGGCAGGCCAGGCAGGCTGGCTTGGTCATGGGGAGCACCTTCATTTCACAGATAGTGAGTACTGCCGGGCACACCTGCTTGCCCTTGTGAAGCCACATTCTTGTGGAAGTGAGGGAATTTTTCCTGTGAGAACTTGTCTGCTCTATGAGATGGTGACCTTTTTAAGTTTGAGAGAAGATGAAACAAATTCCCAAAATGGCAATAGTAGAATCTGAAATCTGTTATTATAGCAATAATATAGTTGGATTGAAGCTTTTCTTTATTCTTAAGGCATTCCTGTCATCTTGACTGATTTCTTTTAATTTAATTTAGAAATAATGATTGTTCCATGAACATTCTGTTACGTTAGGTTTGAGGATGTTTTTAGCTCCAGTGGGAACACAGGAAACTTTGATAGAGGTAGAAGCGTTGGTCTGCTGCTCAACAGCAGGATCATGGTTGTCTTGAAGCCTCCTTGTCTGCCTGTTCCAGTTTGAGCACTTTATTCATATGGGTGGACTTTTGATATTACTTTAAAATTAGAGAACATAGCAAGAAAACCAAGATGGAATTTATTTTATTTCATCAGTTTTCTCCTATAAAAATGAACTTCTAGAGTACTTCTTTAAGTATATGTGATGCTTTACTGGATGCAATTAAAAATGATAATTTAAGGGGGCTGGCCCGGTGGCGTAGTGGTTAATTTTGCACGCTCAGATTTGGTGGCCTGGTGTTTGCAGGTTTGGATCCTTGGTGCAGACCTACACACCACTGATCAAGCCATACTGTGGTAGGCGTCCCACATACCAAAAAAAAAAGATAATTTGAGGGATGGTGTAGTGCTTAAGTTCGTGCGCTCTGCCACAGCAGCCCGGGGTTTGTGGGTTCGGATCCTGGGCGTGGACTTTCTCACCACTCATCAAACCATGCTGAGGTGGCGTGCCGCTGCATAGAGGAACTGGAGGGACCTACAGCTGGGATATACAACTATGTCCTGGGGCTTTGGGGAGAAAAAAGAAAGAGGAAGACTGGCAACAGATGTTAGCTCAGAGCCAAACTTCCTCAAAAAAAAATGATAATTTGAGTTAATGGACAGATTTTTTCAAGATTTTTTAAAAGTAAAATTTTCCTCTTTTCACTTATAGGTAAAAAGCGCAGACTCACCATTATTGAATGTGGGTGTGACATTAACATGATGATTGATCTGGCTAAAGTAGCGGACTTGGTAAGTCAGTGGAGGCAGCCTGGATTTCTGATGGGTACTTAACAGCGGCGTGATAGGTTATTTATCCCATGTTGAAGGGAAGAAAAGTTTATGATTATTAAAGGAATGGTGAGTGTCAACAAGGATACAGTAGGTGTGTTTGAATTGATGATGATGATGATAATTGTTATAATAAAAATGGAATGTGCACAATGAAGTGTATTCTAAAATCTAAAAACAAACCACAGGACACATAACTAATGAACGTAACTAATAAAAAGCTCACTAGGATATACATACATACATAGTACCATTTCTTGGACCCTTACCTGGCGCTGTGCTAATAGCTTTCTACAAATTTAGCTCATCTAATCCCCCATTATGCCTTAGTGGTAAATAGATATTATCTCCAGTTTACATATGATGAAATTGAGGCTCCCAGAAGTTAAGTAATTTGTCTGAGGGTGGGAACTCTGCTCTTGATGGTGCCAGAACCTCCATACTTAATGATTATGATAAAGTACATGGATTGCCCTTGAGAAGTTATCAGAGTTTCTAATAGAAAATCTAGACAGTACTCAGCATATGGAAGTTGTGCAGCCTCATTTACATTTAAAAAAATGGTAATGTTCAAAAATTACCTTTTAAACTAGCAAAGATAAAGCCAAAAGAAACAAGATTTAAGCCATATTGATAAGGAAGTGTAGGGTAAGGGATACCATGTTTTTTTAATTCAGCACTTTCTGAAGAGCTGTTTAGTGACTTCCTTTGGCCCAGGAAGTCTCCTAAAATATAAAATAAAAAGTAATTTAATATAGATGTTACAACTGTGCCATTTTAATATCAGAGAAGTAAATATCATTCAAATTTTGAACATGTAATGCTACCATTAATAAAAATGTGTGTTATTGTCAACACAAAATAGTATAAACTTATTAAGCCTTGTGTATTTGAAATGATTGAAATAGTTCAGCATGAGTCATTAGTTTCTCTTTTATGTAAAATATACCAAGTCTCTGATTTTAAAAGCATACACATATTAAGAAAGATGTGTTTGTATACATCTTTTTAAGATTTAAAAAGGAACACACACTTTTGGTAAAATATTCAAACTGTACTACAGATTGCACACAATTCATGCTTTCTCTTTCCTTGCTCTGACCCTAGTCTCTCAGTTCCCCTCAGCAGTATCCTTCTAGATATGTATATAAAATATGCATACAACCTTTTTAAAGCACATGCCATTTATTCTGTATACTTCTGTGCTTTGCTTTTTTTCACTTAATATGTCTTGGAGGTATACAGTGAGTACTATAGCTCAACCCCATTCTTTTAAGGTATTCTATTGTATGTACCACACTTTATTTAATCTGGCTTATGTTGATTGCACTGCTCTGCGTTGTCATAAAGCCTCCTAAGTCACAGTGAAGGCACATGTAATGTGTAGATTTGTGTGTGCGTGCACATGTGTGTGCATTGGAGGAGTAATACAGGCTTCACTTATCTTTAGTTGACAAAGATTGTCAGCTAAGAGACTGTTTGCTGTTCTTCTGACCTTACAGCTAATTGCTTGCCCCTTGGCACTCCATGGTATCAGACAGAGTGTAGGGTTATTCCACAGCCAGCCCACTCACCTTCGACCTTTTCCATTGTCATTGGAGAACTCCACATGCCAGCTCAGCTTATGGTCTGCAGTGGCAGCTATGCTTTATCACAGTGCACAGTGGCCTACCTTCATATATTTGTGGTTTAGGACTATAAATGTTCTCTAGTTTAATCAAAGATAAGTTTTTGTTTCTATTTTGTTAAAATTTTTAATTAGCTACAGAAAGATAAGAACAGAGATGCCTTTAATATCTTAAAACTAGAAGTCTTGGGGCTGGCCTGGTGGCATAGTGGTTAAGTTCACGCACTCCGCTTCAGCAGCCCGGGGTTCACCGGTTCAGATCCTGGGTGTGGACCTATACACAGCTCATCAAGCCCTGCTGAGGTGACATCCCACATAGGGGAACTAGAAGGACTTACAACTAGGATATGCAACTATATACTGGGGCTTTGGGGAGGAAAAAAAAAACAACTAGAAGTCTCCAGGAATCAACTCTGAAATTATTTTGCATGTTTGAAGAGTCATAAATTTTAAAAATTGAACTTATCTGCTTATATTTTCTTATAGATTAGCATTTATAACTTTATTATCCTTTGACTCAATCCTAAACTGGTAGCCCTTTTTTTAGTTTCTGAGCAATTTGCTCATTACAAATTAACATATAAGATAGAGCTTTCCTGCTACATATTTCCCAGCGAAAAACTTTTTTCCCCCATGAGAAGATTGAAACAAAAATGTTTAGTTTTCTGTACATTTTTGATATTTTTGATTGATTACCACTTCCGTTTTTTGGATGCCAGAGATCTGTTATTTGATTTCAAACTACCTTACAAAAAACTTTATTTCCTGAAGTGAGTACTTTTCAAATGAAGACCAAATTAGACCCAGCCTTTTCTGAGTTATTTCTCATATATCCAAATTCTTGAAATGAAAGTTTATATTGTGGTGGGTGTTGTCTAATGGTTGCCTTTTAGAGCAAATCACAAGATGGTGTTTTCTTTGTCCTGGTGATTCCTAAGTAATCATTTGATTTAGTCTAGAGCAGGAGTTGGCAAATTGTTTTTGTAAAGGGCCAGATAGTAAATATTGTAGGCTTTGTGGGTCATGGTTTCTGTTGCGCCTAATTAACTTTGCAGTTGTAGTGCAAAAGCAGCTGTAGACAATACATAAACCAATTAACGTGGCTGTGTTCCAGTAAAACTTGAGTTATAAAACAGGTGATGGGCCAGATTTGGCCCAAGGTTCACAGTTTGCTGATGGTCTGTTTTGGGTAGCTTCCTTGAGAAATTGTGTCTTCTGTTTTAGGTTCTGATGCTTATAGATGCCAGCTTTGGGTTTGAAATGGAAACATTTGAGTTTCTAAACATCTGTCAAGTACATGGCTTTCCTAAAATTATGGGCGTCCTCACTCACCTAGATTCCTTCAAGCATAATAAACAACTGAAGAAGACAAAGAAGCGATTAAAACACAGGTTCTGGACAGAAGTCTACCCGGTAGGAAAAGAATTAATTATTGAATACTGACACTATAAACCTTTAAAAATAGACAAGATGAGTAGGAGAGATTAACAAGCATCTCTACAGGAGTCACCTCCTGAGTTTCCTTTATATATCTGTTCATAGTCCCTGGAATATTTCCTCGACATAGTCTTTATTCCAGACCTCCTGGTGTGTCATTTGTCTCTGTATCCCCCAGCACCAGGCAGTGTCTGGCTCTAAGTGTTTTCAATTTGTGGTAATAGAGTTTGTCTGAAGTATCTCCTGGTTACGGACCAGGAACTATAGTGCACACGAATTGCCACTCCTCCCTCCCCTCCATACTGCTGTGGCCCAGCAGTCACAGAACTTTTTCTGTGCCCATGGGCCTCACTGCCCTCTCTGTGCAGTTCTCCAGACAGATGCCACTGCCTAACTGGAGAGCAGTCTTGAAACTAAATGTATTTGCAGTTCTGCCCCCATGAAACCCTAACAAGAGGAGTCCTGAAAGAAGCCAGAGAACTTCTGGAAGCATTACACAGTGGTTTGCTAGAAGTCTCCCTTTCTTAGGATTGTTTCTTATTTTGAGGCCTTTATTTTGGTGCAGTATTGACAAAGATTTAATTAATTATTATTTTTTTTAATGTTTAGGGTGCCAAGCTGTTCTACCTCTCCGGAATGGTACATGGAGAATATCAAAACCAAGAAATTCACAATCTGGGTCGTTTTATTACAGTTATGAAGTTTAGGCCTCTTACGTGGCAAACCTCTCACCCTTATATCCTGGTAGACAGGTAAAAAGTGAATGTAAACTTTTTCTTTCTGGCCCACATATTTCAAAGCTAAAAAGGTTAGAGAAAGAACAGTAATAAAGCTTATTTTGTGCTTATTTTTGAATAGTAGGGGGAGAAATGTAGTTGATGGAAAATATCTACTTTTTTTGTATTATTAAAGATGCTGTAGTTTTGGAGTAAAGTATGAAATGTTTAGAAAATGAAGATTTTGAAGCATTTAAGGCTACAGGAGGATATGGCCCTATCCTGCTTTTTCAACCTTAATTTTCGGTAATACTGTCTTTGGACCATGGTGCTCCGGTCACTCAGATGTGCCCTGTGCTTTCCTTCCTTTAGGCTTTTTTTCATATTGTTTTCTCAGCCTGGAATACCCTTTCTCCATCTGTCAGAATCCAAGCCACACTAAAAAACACAGATCAAAGCTTAATCCTCTTCCATAAAGAATTTTTCTTGATATATTCTCTACTCTTCCCCAACGCCTGGTGTGTGTCATTTCTCATTTCTGGTGTCTTGGTTATGGAGTGTACCAGAGCCTGAGAGAGGTGCAGTCATGTGTTTGCTCCTTTTCCTCTGGTAGATGATGAACTGTACTTCCTTATTTCTGTATTTAATAATTTTAATAATTTTCTAACCAATGTCTTTAGTGAACTAGTGTATGTGATGAATTGTTGACATGTGAAGGGAGGTACAAGAACTTTGACATTCATTTCTGCCATATGATTGGGTTTTATTTTTCTAGGATGGAAGATTTGACAAACCCAGAAGATATCCGAACAAATATCAAGTGTGACCGAAAGGTGTCTCTTTATGGTTATTTAAGAGGAGCGCACTTGAAAAATAGAAGCCAAATTCACATGCCAGGTATCCTTTTTGTTGTAAAATATACTATATTTATAAAATTCCTGGGATGACTTCATTTCTCAGGAAAACTGAAAAATGGACAAACAAGATAGAGCCACACTGCTGGAGGTTTTAAGAGTAACCCAGCTCTGCATCGGCCAGCAAAGGTGTTGAGTTGACCAGATCCCCTCTGCTCTGATGGTGTTGTTTAGCCAGAGAGGCACGGTGCCAAACGACGTGCTTGTTGTGTTTGAAGCCTTCTGACTGGGCCATTTCTGCCAACAGTCAGTACACTTGTCAGCTGAAGCCATCTTCCTGTTTCTGTCTTCCAGGTGTAGGAGATTTTGCTGTGAGTGACGTCAGTTTCCTCCCAGACCCCTGTGCACTTCCTGAACAACAGAAGAAGCGCTGTTTAAATGAGAAGGAGAAGTTGGTTTATGCACCTCTCTCTGGAGTTGGTGGTGTGCTGTATGACAAAGATGCTGTCTATGTCGACCTTGGTGGCAGCCATGGTTTCCAGGAATCGGTGAGAGAGAAGTCATAGGAAGTAATGTAGTCAGCTTTTATTTACTGAAGTTTTTTATCTTTATTCATATTTCTGATAAAGGCCACCATGCATATTATAAATATACAGAATACTTAATTGCACCAAGCAGAAAGTAAAAGTCATGTCCTCCATACCTCCCTGCTGCCAAGACACACGGGCTTGCACGTCTCCCAGCATGAGCAGTGCAAGCCGTCTGGCACCTGTGCTTCTTGTCTCTTTATACAAATCCAATGTGTTTTCTAGCTCTCTTTGGTTTTTCTCTTTTTTCCTGTTTCTCTCTAAACATACACATATTTATTTAGATTATTTTATATGTATACATGTATACATATATATGGTATTTGTGTCTGTGTGTGAAAGAAAAGTAATATTTGTTATATGGGATCCAACTATAAATACTTTTCAACTCTTTGAGGCACCTAAGAATATATGATTCTGTTGTTCCCTGTTAGTAATTTGTAAGCTGCTTCAGTCTGTTTACAACTGTGTAGCATTTCGTCGTATGGATAAACCTCGTTTACTGCAGCAACCCCTGGAGGGCCATGGGGCTCACCCCTGTTTCCCCTGGTTTGAGCAGTGCTGCAGTGAGCACCCTCACGCATGCAGCTTTGCTCACTGGAACGAATCTTTCTATGCAATAAATTCCTTGAAGTGAAATTTTTGGATCAAAAGGTAGCAAAATCTTTTTTAATGGACTCCAGATTTTTATTTCTTTGTTCTGAAATGGGATTTTATTGGGCTAAAATAAATGCTTTTTGTAGCATTGGCATCTAAGGTTTTTCTAGCTAAGTATTTAGGTTACTCCATGACCTTTGGAAAAGTTTAATGAAAACGGATCAATTTAAGGCCTTGTTGTAAGAATTTTTTTTTTGAGGCAGTAAGGAAGGTTCTCTGGAGCTACGTTCAGGATAATTTTGAGAAAATGATTGAAACCAGTGTCTCTCTTCAGAATCCTTGTGAGTTCCTCACTTTCTCTGTCTTCATGGCCTTGACAGGACGAGGTGAGGCCCACCCATGAACTGGTCCAGAGTCTCATTTCTACCCATTCCACTATTGATGCCAAGATGGCTTCAAGTAAAGTGACACTTTTCTCTGATTCTAAACCACTGGAGTCAGAGGATATAGATAATCAAGGGTAAGTTTGGTTTTTTTCTATTTTTAATAAAAAAATATTGTAGAAGATCATATCACTCATAACTCTGCCATCATAACACATTTTGTTGGAATTCATTCCAGATTGTTTTTTTTTTCGCTTTGCTTGTATGTGCCTATGGTTCTGAGGGCTCTTCACTTACATGACATTACATGGAAATATTTTCTTGAAATAATATACAGGATTCAGTTTTTAACAGACCCAGAATATTCCTCAGTTATCACAAAACCTTTTCCATAGGTTACTTTTTGTTTCTTAGGAAACATGAGGCCATTTGGCTTTCTCTTTGTAACCAAAATACTAGAACAAGCAGAGTCAGGGAGCTTGTTCAGGTGGCTGTCCAGATGCCATGTATCCTGTCTCTAAAATTTTACTAAGATTGTGTTGTAGTATCTCCTGTGGGTTGGTGTCCACTAATATCTGGTTTATGTGAATTATTTTCAGTCTGGATTGGAAATTTGTATACCTTATACATAGTGAGTGTTTTGGTTTTGTTGTGGTGATTTATGACTCTCAATAGAAAGCAGTCTGAAAATGACTGAGATTATCTAGTTTATTGTTTATTATAAATATATCCAAACGAAAGAAAAATTTTTTGGAAAAAATCATCTGCTGCCCGCTAACCAGCAGATGGTATAGTATGGTGGTTAAGTGCAGTAGACCTACTAGTTTGAGGAGACAGTCACTCTGAGCCTCAAGTTCCTAATAGCTTATAGGAGTTGTGATGATTAAATACAGCAGTGTACATAAGCTATTTAGCGTGATGTCTGGCAGATAAGAAGTATTCGCTAAAAGATCCCTGTTATTACAATCAATGTTATTAGCGATTTTCATTTTTTTTTTTTTTTTTTGAGAGGAAGATCAGCCCTGAGCTAACATCCAATGCCAGTCCTCCTCTTTTCTGCTGAGGAAGATTGGCCCTGGGCTAACATCCATGCTCATCTTCCTCTTCTTTATATGGGACGTCGCCACAGCATGGCTTGACGAGCAGTGCGTCGATGCGCTCCCGGGATCCAGGCCGGCAAGGCCGCGCTCCCGGGATCCAGGCCGGCAAACCCCAGGCCGCCACAGCGGAGCACGCCCACTTAACCGCTGCAGCACCGGGCCAGCCCCAGCGATTTTCATTTTTGAGTATTCCTTTAGTCATCCTTGTCTACATGTATACTCTTTCTAACGGTTACAGTCGTAATACATGCAAAATTTTTATATCTATGTTGTGAGCATTTCCTTTTTCTGTAGTCTTTTTATATAGTCATCATTTTGTTATTAGTGATGTTTTCTAACTTATCTGTCCTCTTTTAGTACAATTTTTAGTATTTTCCTAATTGTTTTCTTTCACGTTTATATATATACTGCTATATTAATAGCTTTATAGTTTTTTATTTTATCCTGTGGTTTAGCATTTTGATGATTATTCTTTATTAAGTATTGCATTGGTGATTTCAAAATGGCAGTGTTCTGAATCTGGTATTCCTTCTACATTTGTTAGCTGCATTCTTTAACAAAGAGCTTTCACTTACACCCCTTTATTGTAGTATCACTGTTGACTAATGGACTTTTTAAAAAATTCCATTTGTTATTATCCCATTACTAATGGACTTTTAAAAAAATTTCCAATTGTTATTATCCTATTACTATCCCATTTGTTATTATCCCAATAACTATCATTATTCTTTCACAGTTATTCTACATTGTCCCTTCAGTCTGTCTCTTTTGTCCCTTTGGCATGTCCCTATTAGTCTTTGAGTACTTTCTTGCTTTCTGACACAACAGGATGTTCCAGACTTACTTTGTACTTTCCCTGCCTTGGACCTTGAGTCAGCCATTTCTCTAAGGACCATCTGTTTAAAGCTTGGAAATGATCTGTCTTCTAACAGATCTGTTAAACTCTCACTTCCCTTTTTTCCTAAAATTAGACTTTTTTTAGAAAAAAAAGTTATCTCGTTATTCTCTCTTTAAGTTCTTTTGAAGAGTGGTGTTAGGGAACTGTGCATAAGTTTGTTTATTAACTATTCCAGTATTTATCAAATCATTTCTTTCTATGCTGTGTCGTTTAAAACCGTTCCTTGACATTATTTTCTATTTCTTTGTATATTTATTGACTTGTCATTTCTAGATTGGACGATTCTTGTACAAATTGAATTATTTTGCATTTACTTGGTAATATAGGCTGTGGATGCCTAAAGAGGAAAAGCAGATGGATTTGAAAACTGGTCGAGTGCGTCGGAAAGCCATTTTTGGAGATGAAGACAATGAGTTTGGAGATAGTGATGATGAAGATGATGAAGAAATGTCTGAAGGTGACAGGTTGGAAAATAACTCTAGTGATGATGAAACAGAAGAGGAAGAAGATGCTGAAATATCTGATAAAGAGTATATGACTGGTAAAGGTGTCAAACGGCAGAGACTTGAGGAGATGGAAGAAGATGTTGAAGTGGATTTGCCAGCATTTGCTGATAGTGACGATGACCTTGAGAGGAGCTCAGGGGAAGAAGGAGAAGCAGAGGAAGCTGATGAAAGCAGTGAAGAAGAGGATTCCACTGCAGAAGGAGAGAGGGATACTTTAGAATCTAAGGCTGTTGGAGAAGGTGGTAAACGAGCACTGTTACAAAATAATGGTTTGAGTGACGGTTTGAATCTGGAGAAGTCTTTGACAATGAAGAAAGCGACCCTCACCACTTCAGATTCAGGTCATTGCACAGCTGAAGAGGCATTTGTATCTGAAGATGAATCTGAAGAAAGCTCCTCTCTCACTACAGAGGAAGAGGATTCAGAAAATGAAGAGGTTACTAGGAAAAAGTTTCCAAAGTCTGCTCAAGTGGTTAGTGGTCAGAAACTGGGGTCAGAGAACTTAACTGATGAGATCAGTGATGTAGAAGACTTACTCAAAGAGGAAGAAGATTACAAGGAAGAAAATAACTATTCCATGGAAACCTCAGGTATGCTTAAATTTAATTTAACTGCCGTTATAAACTTGGCACTGAAAATGTTCTGCAAATAGAATGTCTACATTTGGGGGTCTGCTGTTTTGGAGATTTTGTTAACTGCTCAAATATTGCACCTCATAAAAGGATTTCACGGTGAATGAGAGGTGAGCTTGAAGCAGAGAGGACAGATGAACAGAATTAACTGATGTTGGCGCTGATCCTTTCAGGGGCCCTCAAGTGGAAGGAAGACCTTTCCAGGAAGGCAGCAGAGGCCTTTCTGAGGCAGCAACAAGCAACTCCAAACCTTCGAAAGCTTATTTATGGGACAGGTAAAAGAGCTCTGGTTCAGATCTAGAAACATTTTAGTTTCTTAGACTATTTTCTGAAAAGGGGATGAGGAAATTGGTTGGAGGATTTGGGTGGTACTTTCGATAGCCATAAGATATTCCTGGCTGTCATAGTTTATATTTGGCAGATGTTTTCAATCATCAGCTCATGAGGACCATAAATCAGTCATATGAAATAGATCTATGAGTTTACTGTAAAATTTTTGATGAAAATACTCCCCATTATGTCATTTTGTACCCCCTATACAAAGTCCTTAATGAGAGTTTTTTGTAGAATTTAGTGCCAGAAAAATATTTCTGCCCGTAAACCTGTTTTTCCTTTCTGAGAAGGAGAACTCTGTGTAACTCATTCTGTTTTTTCCTTTTGCCCCTGTCCTCTGATTTTATATTTTATTAAACTTGTCTGTATGTTCTTTTTGGAAAGAGCATGGGTCAGTAATGCAAAAAATAAATATAAAGTGGTAAACTTTATATTGTGGTCCCCAGTTGCTATATGATTAGAACAAGGCCAAAGGAGTATATGTGAGCTAGGAGCATCAAATCAGAGGGTTGGTGTGTACTAATTTCCATTCAGGTTTTGCCTCAGTACTCTTAGTGGTTAGACACTCAGCACTCTTCAAGAGAAACTCCTTATAATAATTGAAAACCCTGCCTTTAAATGTCCCTTTCTTCCCACAACCCCTAATATTCTCCCTCCTCAGTGGACTCTGTGCTGCTGCCTTGCAGGAGGGGAGATGTCTTCCAGACATGTTGAGCAGTAGTTCTTTGGCCTTTCTCTGTCTGTGGCTTGACGTGCTCTCGGATGCTACCATATCTACCATGAACAGGGATCCTCAGTCCCGAGTCCTCTAGGGTGTAGATTTGTTCTCACTTTTCCATCATGGTGGCCTTTTTAGTGACAGAAGATAATGAAGAAGATGATGATACAAGGGAAGAGCTTGGAGGGCTGTTTCGTATCAGCCAGCCTGCCAGAGAGTGTAAGCACAAGGCTGACTCTCTGGACTGCTCCAGATTTCATGTGGAGGCGCCTCATGATTGGGATTTAGAGGAGGTAAGGCTGAATATGAAGAGTATATTTGACTCATGAGAGAATTAGGGAATTGTTCTAAAAGAAGATTATGTGATTTCAATATTGCCTACCTGTTATTAGCTTCTTATTTTTGTAAGATAATGGGACATTTCCCCAGGTATTGGAGTGGATATTTCATGCATCCTAAGCAATAACATATTCTGAGTTTAGTCAGACCATGGGCATGTGTTATGGAGAAAAGGAAAAAGTTCAACTTTTAGTGTGGATAGTTATTTTGAAGCATTACACATAAGTTTTCATACATTTGAAATATTTTGTGTTTTATAACTAGGATATACCTAGTGTCCTTGAGTTAATATTTATACTTTCCACTGTTTGTAAGCAAACGGAAATCCGTGACAATGGTAAATTTTCTTCCTCTGCTCGCCACTCTCTAGTCATACTGGAATTCATTCAGTTCTCAAACTTTCCAGGCTTATTCCCATCTTAGACTTCTTGCCCCCTCTATTTTCTATTCTGGAGTGTTCTTCTGATCTTCCCAAGGCTGGCTTCTTTTGATCATTCAGTTTAGCTTAAATGTCACTCCTCAGAGAGGCCCAGGCACTGTCACATTACCCATTATAACTCACTGGGTAGCACTTAACGCACTTTGCAGGATTTTATGTAACCATTTTTTATGGTAAAATTTAATACGGTTTATAGAAGACCACATAAAAACAATTGTTTAATTTAATGGATTACTAGGTGAGTATACCATGTATCCATCCCAGTCATAGTCCTCTCTCTCCCTGCAGGAGGAACCACAACTCTTATGGTAATCATTTCCTTCTTTTCTTCATAATTTCATCCTCCAAGTTTGCATCAATAAACACCATAGTTTAGTTTTACCAGGTTTTTTTGGTTTGTTTTTCACTATGCCTTTTAGCTCTCTTAATCTATAATCCTTCCCTTTGCTTTTCTCTTTTTTCCCCTTAGGTTTTATTTGTTTAAGAAACCAAGTATGTGTAGAGTTTCTCATATTCTGGATTTTGTGAATTGCATTACATCCCTTTGTTAGTTTATCAAGCTCCTCTCTCCTCTGTATTCCCTATAAATTGGTACAGAGCAATACCTATAGAACTGTATGTGATGATGAAAGTCTGTGTATGAACTGTCCACTGTGGCTACTTGTGGCTGTGAAGCACTTGAAATGTGACAAGTGAGACAGAATAACTAAATTTTAAATTTTATTTGTTTTATTTAATCTTAATTAATTAGAATTTAAATAAGCACATGGTTGTGGCTACCCTAGACAGCACATCTAGAAGTTTGATTGGATTTAGATTTGATTTTTATTTTTGGCCAGGCTGCTTCCTAGGTGGTGGTGTTTTTTTATTAGGAGGCATGTAAAATCATCTTGTGATGTTAGCAGCTATAGAAGGTCAATGCCTAGATCCATTAATTTATTAAGAATGTAAAATGTTGATATTCTGTTCAAATTTCTCTTTATTTATTAGTTGGAATACTTCTGTAAAGAGAAACTTTCTCTCATCTACTATTTGATCACCCAGTTCCATATAAGCAGGATAATTGCTTGATTCTTTTTATCAGTTTTCAGAATGATTCTCCAAAGGTGACTTTTTTTTAAGTATCATTTTTTTTTCTTTTTTTTTTTTGGTGAGGAAGATCAGCCCTGAGCTAACATCCGTGCTAATCCTCCTCTTTTTGCTGAGGAAGACCGGCTCTGAGCTAACATCTATTACCAATCCTCCTCCTTTTTTCCCCCAAAGCCCCAGTAGATATTTGTACGTCATAGTTGCACATCCTTCTAGTTGCTGTATGTGGGACGCGGCCTCAGCATGGCTGGAGAAGCGGTGCGTTGGTGCGCGCCCGGGATACGAACCCTGGCCGCCAGTAGCGGAGCACAAGCACTTAACCGCTAAGCCACCGGCAGGCCCCTTAAGTATCATTTTGAACTCATGGATTTAAATATAGTGTTTCCGGGCCAGCCCCATGGTTTAGCGGTTAAGTGCGTGCGCTCCGCTGCTGGCGGCCCAGGTTCGGATCCTGGGTGCGCACCGACGCACCGCTTCTCCGGCCACGCTGAGGCCGCGTCCCACATACAGAAACTAGAAGGATGTGCAACTGTGACATACAACTATCTACTGGGGCTTTGGGGGAAAAAAAATAAATAAAAAAAATTAAAATAAATAAATAAATAAATATAGCGTTTCCTTCCACTGTACTTGTTATCCTTGATGCTTGTATTTGTCCCATCTCTGGCCAGTCTTTTAAAATTGGCTTCTGAGTCCTTTTGACATGATCTTAGTAGTCCTGGGTTACTTCATTGCTATCTGATATGATAAGGTGTTCCAGCACCATCTTGTACGTTTCTGATGCCAGGCTTGGAAACAGCCATAAGAAGTCCTGATTTCTTTTGATACAAAATGGTATTTCAACATTACAGTCTAGGTGTATGTGTACTCATTGCTATGTATTGGTCATTGTTTCTAGGCCTTTTCAGTGACCAGAGCTAGAGAATTCGTACAGATATTTCCAATTCAGCAGGAATACAGAGTTTTTACTTAACCTCTTTTATCTTAAATTTGTTTTTCCACTGGAGAATTATTCACTGTTTGAATCTGAAGATGATGAAATTAGAAAATTATGTGATTACTCATTTGCTTTATCCCACATTACACGCAAAACAGTGTCAATAATGTTTCACATTATCGTTAATATGATTACTGAAAACAAAGTTTTTTCTTCATATGTTCTCCCATTTCTCTTTTCAAAAGTGGCTACACCATTTGACATTCCCACTAGCAGTGTATGTGGCTTCTGATTTCTCTGTATCCTCACCAACACTTGTTATTATCTGGTTTTGGGGTGTTTTTTTTGGTGAGGAAGATTGGCCCTGAGCTAACATCTGTTGCCAATCTTTCTCTTTTTGCTTGAGGAAAGTTGTCCCTGAGCTAACATCTGTGCCAGTCTTCCTCTATTTTGTATGTAGGACACTGCCTAAGTGTGGCATGATGAGTGGTGTGTAGGCTGGTGCCTGGGATCCAAACCCGCGAACCGCAGGTTACTGAAGCGGAGCATGTGAACTTAACCAGTTTGCCACCAGGCTGGACCCTGGTTTTTTTGACTGTAGCCATCCTAGAGTCTGTAAAGTGGTATCTCATTGCAGTTTTGATTTGCCTTTCCCTGATGGCTAATGATGACAGGCATCTTTTCATGTGCTTGTCAGCCATTTGTATATGTTATTTGAAGAAATGTCTATTCATATCGTTTGCCCATTTTTAAAATTGGGTTGTCTTTTTATCATTGAGTTGTAAGGGTTGTTTATATATTCAGGATTACAAGTCCCTTATCAGATATACGACTTATAAATGTTTTCTCCCATTCTGTTGGTTATCTTTTCTGTGCCCTTTGAAGCACAAAGTGTTAAATTTTCTTTACAAAATTTTAAATTTTGATGAAGTCCAATTTGTCTATATGTTTTTGTTGTTGTTTGTATGTTTGGTGTCATGACTAAGAACCATTGCCAAATCCGAGATCATGAAGATTTACTCCTATGTTTTCATCTAAGAGTTTTATAGTTTAGGTCTTACATTTAGGTCTTTGATCCATTTTGAGTTAATTTTTGTGTTTGATGTGAGATGAGTCCAACTTCATTCTTTTGCATGTGGATATCCAGTTGTCCCAACACCATTTGATGAAAAGACTATTCTTTCCCCATGGCCTTGTCTTGGCACCCTGGGTGAAAATCACTTGACCATAGACATATCAGTTTATTTATGGACTCTTAATTATACTCCATTGATCGACATGTCTGTCCTTATGCCAGTACCATACTGTTTTGATTACGATTGCTTTGTAGTAAGTTTTGAAATTGGGAAGTGTGAATCCTCCACCTTTTATCTTCTTTTTCAAGATTGTTTTGTCTATTCTGGATCCTCTGGGATCCTCTGGGTTTTCTATATTTTAGGATCAGCTTTCCTACTTCTGCAAAGAAAGCCAGCTGGGATTCTGATAGAGATTGCATCAAATCCATAGATCACTTTGGATAGTATTGATATCTTAACAATATTAAGTTTTGTGATCTCTTAACATTTATTTAGATCTTAAATTTCTTTCAAGAATGTTTTGTGGTTAATCAAAGTGTAAGCTTGGCACTTCTTTTGTTGGATTTGTTCCTAGTATTTTATTCTTTTTGATGCTATTGTAAAAGGAACTGTTTTCTTAATTTCATTTTTTGATTGTGCATTGCTAGTGTGTAGAAATAAAATTTATTATTTTTATATTGATCTAGTATCTTGCAGCCTTGCTGAACTCATTTATTAGTTATGATAGTTTTTCAGAGGATTCCTTAGGATTTTCTGTATACAAGATCATATTGTCTGTGAATAGAGATAGTTTTCCTTTCTAAACTAGATGCCTTTTATTTCATTTTCTTGCCTAATTGCCCTGACTAGAATGTCTAGTACAATATTGAATAGTTGGTGAGAGCAGACATCCTTGTCTTATTCCTGAGCTTAAGGGGGAAGCTCTCAGTCTTTTACTGTTAAGTATGATGTTAGCTGTGGGTTTTTTAATAAATGCCCTTTATCAGGTTGAGGAAGTTCCCTTCTATTCCTAGTTTGTTGAGTGTTTTTATCATGGAGGGTCTATTTTTTTTTAATTGTTTGGTCTTTGGTTCCCCTAAGCTAATTGTTAAGCTTTGTGAAAGCAACGATCTTGGAACAGTTTGCCATTCAGTGCCTACAAAGCTTCTTGGCACAGAGTAGATGTGCAGTAAATATTCAGTGAGTGATTGTAGGCATGAAAGAATGAGTAAATGAACAGATTTGCTTTTGCATCCCTTGTAATGCTAGCTTCAAGGCTGCTCTTTGAGAGTGAGGTTGTGTATGAAAAACATGATTCATGACCAAAATGGGATTGAATTGAAAGCCAGGACCTATGTGAAGGTTTCTCTAAGTGTGCTTTGGAGGCCTTGGCAGTGAATGACATGTGCTGTCTTAGATCAGGTTCCCCATGAAACAGACTCTGAAACAGCGAGTTGTGTACAAGGTTTTCTTCTGTATTTGAGAGGTGCACCCGGCATCCATTACATGTGTATACTGGATGATCTGGCAGATCTGAGACTGGAAACCTCGTTGGTACTCTTTGCACTATTGTGCTCATATAAGACGTTTTGTCTTTGTCAGAATATTGTCATTGGTCAAAGGAATTAACTTTTCAACAGCCACGGTAAGTCTGGATTAACAAATAGTAAGTACAACTTTCTAAAAACGCTGTCTAACTACATTGCTTTAGGAACACCAATAAACTTTGACAGTCTGTTGAATTAGTAAATACCTGTTTGTTTACTTATGAGGTCAGTGGGCTAATAGTACTTTCGTTTTCCACTGCTTAATGTTTTGACATTTATGTTTTTATCTCTGTGGTTATATTATTTACATCAAGGGTATACTGTCTCAGGCCCACTTGGAATTAGAGTATCCACAAAATGTCTTGAAAAGTATTTAAGTGCAGTTTGTCACCTACCACTGTTTCTTAATAGGAGTTGTTTTGTTGAGTGATTGGCGCATGTCAACTAAGGCTGACTTTTCTGTCTAAGGTTATGAACAGTATCAGAGACTGCTTCGTGACTGGGAAGTGGGAAGAGGATAAAGATGCAGCCAAGATATTAGCAGAAGATGGTAAGTAAAGGGCTGTATTCTTCAGAGAGGACTACCTTCTCTAAACTTTGTTTTCCTCTGTATCTTTAATAGTTAAGTTGAAAATACTAGTCAATTGTGAAATGCTTTGGGGAACTCTGACAGGACTTATGGGTAATATTCTGGTTCCTCCTTTCATGGTGATCTTCTTTTCTCCACTTGGTTAACTGACTTATTAAATATGGACCTTGAAGAAAAATGAGGAACTTTCCATAAATTTTATCATGTATTTGTCAAAAATAGATTTTTGTGTGTGAAAAATGTACTCAAATAATGTTTATATTTTTCTTTTGATGATAAGGGTAGTATGCATTGTAGAACATTTAGAATAAAAAGTACATATTGTACCATAACCTCTATTACCTGTAAAAAAAACCTTTGTTAACCTTTTGAGATATTTCCTTCCAATCATTTAAAAATTTTGTATATATATATATAAATATAAACGTTTGTAGTTATAATTATACTTTATATAAATGTGTCCTTAAATTTTTTCAAAGATTTCATGTTTATGATTTAAGTGTTCTATCATATTATGATTCACTTCACAGTTCTATTGTTTGACATATAAGCAATTTACTTTGTATTATAAATAACTGTGATCACCTTGAAATAACTCTTGGATCACATTTTTTGTTTTCATAAGATAGACTCATAAAAGTTAGAATTGTTGATTCATTTTTATGGACCATAATTGCCAAAAAGTTTTTCAGAAAGTTGTTATTTATGTACCCATGAGCAGTGTGTCTTAGTACTTATTTTACTGCTGTCATTCAGTATTGAGTACTGACCATCAAAAATGATTTTTTGCCAATTTGATAGATGAAAATAGTTTCTGCTTATATTTGTAACTGGCATTTCTTTGACTACTAGTAAATGAGAATATTTATTTAAGGTGTGTTGGCTTTGGCATTTCTTTGGTGAATTCCTTGTTTGTATCTTTTGTCCATTTTTATAATAGGCTGTTAGTGTGTTTTATACTGATTTTTAAAATTACTCCTTAAAGGATATTTATCCTTCTTTGTTTGTTGCAAATATTTTTTTCTGCGTTTTATCATTTAATTTAAAAATTTTCTTTAGTATTACATTAAACTTACATTTAAAAATATTGTGTAGTTAAATCTATCAGTATTTTGGGAGGTGGATTTTATTACTTTTATTTCTCCCATAGTAATTCCTTTTGTATCACTGCACTAACTGGGTCAGTTTTACAGTTTCCATTACTAAAAAATTCACATAACCCATCTGTTATTTGTACTTTCTCATTTCTAATATTGTTCCTTTTTTTTTTTAGTTGGATTTGTAAGTTACCTATTTTGTTAAATCCATAACTTTTAAATTTAATTTTCAGTTCTATTTACCTCATGATTAGAAAATTAATGAGCTTTGACTTTTCCTTTTAGTTGTATCCATTAGTTGTGAAATCAGAAAAGAAATTTTTTTTGTTTTTAAGGACAGCACTTTGTAAAAATTTAGGTATAGCTTAATGTTCACTTTAATGAATTTTGACAATTATATACACCTATACCCACCACCCAAAACAGGAGTAAGAACATTTCCATTACCCCCAAAATGTTTGCCTGTGCACTTTATAGTCAGCATCCAACCCCTACCCAGGCAGCCCCTTTTGGGTTTCTGTCACCATAGATTTGTTTTGCCTGATCTTGGACTTCATACAAATGTAATCAGACAGTATGTATTCTTTAGTATCTGGGTTCTTTCCCTGACCATGATTTACTTTTTAATAACTTCGTTGAGGTACATTCGACATGCAATTAAATACACCTCTCTTAAGAATATAGTTTGGTTAGTTTGGACAATTGTATATGCTCATATACCACCATTACAATCAAGAAATAAAATAGTTCTGTCACCACGGAAAGTACCCTCATGCCGATTGCAGTCAGTCCCTACCCCCAGAACACCACCAGCCCCAAGGCAACCAATGGTCTGTGTTCTCTAACTATAGATTAGTTTTGCCTTTTGTAGAATTACATCATAAAATACACTCTCTTTTGTTTGTAGATTCTTTTACTTAGCATACTGTTTTGAGATTCATTCATATTATAGTTTGTTTTTTCTTATTGCTGAGTAGTATTCTGTTGCATGAATATGTCACAATTATTTATCCATTTTTCTCTTGATGGCCATTTAGGTTGTTTCAAGTTTTGGGCTGCTACAATTAAGGCTACTTTGAACATTGTTTCCAGTTTTTGGCTATTACAATTAAGTCTGCTCTGAAAAAAGAAAAAGGTTTTTTTTTGTGGAAATTGGTTTTCTTTTCTCCTTGGTAAATGCCAGGGAGTGGAATAGCTGGGCTATTGGGTAGATGGATGCCCAACTTTATAAGAAACTGTATTAGAGTCTGACTCCATTTGTAACGTTTGACTGATGACAGCTCTTAAGCCCCACCCTCCCGTCCCCCCTTCTGTCCTGCATCTGAGCAAGCTCATAAAAAAGCCCAGATGCTCCTCTTTTGGCATCAGCAGGGAGTTCAAACCATATACATCCCTGCCCTCACACAAGCCTCACCCCCTAACTGCCATTAACACTCCCAAGCTATTCTCATTTCGCTCTCAAGCTGTGTTTGAACTAGTTTGGAAAGTCTGCTCTGCTCTCCCCAGAAGGCCTCATTATGTGAGTCATAAATCTTTCCGTATCCTCCTGATGTTGTGGGCTCTCATCTGTCTCAATATCCAGACCAAATTTTGGGTGGGAGGTCCATCCTATCTCTACCCGGTGACCACAAAGTAAACTGCCCCACGGGTCTTCAAAGAGAACACTAGCAGTGGATGAGAATTTCAGTTCACATCCTAGTGAGTGTGAAATGGTGTCTCATTGTGATTTTAATTTGTATTTCCCTGATGACTAATGATATTGAGCATCTTTTTGTGTGCTTATTGGCCGTTTGAATATCTTCCTTTGTGAAATGTTCATTTAAGTCTTTTGCCTATTTTTTTTAAAGAAATAAACTTTATTTTAAAATAGTTGAGATTTAGAGAAATGTTGTGAATATAGTACAGAGTTTCTATATACCTCACACCCGGTTTGCCCTATTGTTATCATCTTACATTTGGATGGTACATTTGTTACAGTTAATGAACAGAGTGCTAACAAAATATTGGATCTCTTCCAGACTGAGCAATCTTTAAGGGGCCATTTGTATTTTCTTTTCCATGAATTGTCTTTACAAATGCTTTGCCCATTTCTCTATTGGGTTATTGTTGATCTTTCTCTTATGTGTAAGAATTCTTTATATGTTATAGAAAATTGCTTTTTGTGATATGAGGTGCCACATTTACCTCCCTCATTTTAACATTTATATTTTAACTTTATTTATGATTCTTTTATGTGGAATATTTTTTTAATGAAGTTAGATGTATCAGTTTTGCTTTAAATGGCTTTTGGAATTTATCTTATCCTTAAAAAGTCTTTTGTTAAAAAAGAAAAAAATTTTCCCATTGTTTCTTCTAGTACTTCCTGATTCCATTTTTCTTTTATGTTTAAATCACTGATTCAACTACTACTTCTTTTGGTGTGAGTCCAGACGCCTGGATACATTTTTTTCTAGGTGCCCACCAAGTTCTTCCCAATACTATTTGTTCTTTTCCCAACTGATTAAAGTGCCCTTTTTGTCATATTCTTTATTTATTTATTTATTTTGGGACTTTCTAGTCTGTCATTGATTTCTGTTGATTCATTCGTCATTGCTATAGTTTAAAACCCTATATAGCTTTATAGTATGTTATTAAGACACCAGTTATTAAAACCGGTATGACTGGTTCCTTTCTCTGCCTGTGTCTGCTATGTTTTTTGGAATTTCTTCTGACTATTCCCTCTTACTTATTTTTCCGTGGGAACTTAAGAATCATCTTTTCTGTTTCCAAAAGAAAATATGGTGGGCCGGCCCTGTGACTTAGCGGTTAAGTGCGCGCGCTCCGCTACTGGCGGCCCGGGTTCAGATCCCAGGCGCGCACTGACGCACCACTTCTCCGGCCATGCTGAGGCCACGTCCCACATACAGCAACTAGAAGGATGTGCAACTATGACATACAACTATCTACTGGGGCTTTGGGGGAAAAAAAGGAGGAAGATTGGCAATAGATGTTAGCTCAGAGCCGGTCTTCCTCAGCAAAAAGAGGAGGATTAGCACGGATGTTAGCTCAGGGCTGATCTTCCTCACAAAAAAAAAAAAAAAAAAGAAAGTATGGTGGGTTTTTGTCTTTTTTAATAGCTATATTGAGGTATAATTGATATACAGTAAACTGCACATATTTAAAGTGTACAATTTGATAAGCTTTGACATTATGAGTATACCATCACCACAATTAAGATAATGAACATTTGTCACCCCCAAAAGTTTCCTTATGCCATTTTGTAGTCCCTCCCTCCTGTCCTCTCCCCATTGCCAAGTAAAAACTCATCTGCTTTCTGTCACTATATGATAGTTTGTACCCCCTAGAATTTTAGGTAAATGGAATCATACAGTATGCACTCTTTTCTGTGTAACTTCTTTTACTCGGCATAATTATTTGAGATTCATCCTCCGTGCTGTTGTATCTTCATTCCTTTTTATTGCTGAGTAGTTAATTTCTTTTTATTGGTGAGTAGTATTCCATTGTATCTTGCACTGCAGTTTGTTTATCTGTTCACCTGTTGATGGACATTAAGGTTATTTCCAGTTTTTGGCTATTACAAATAAAGCTACTGTGAACATTCTTGTACAAGTCTTTGTATGAACAACTGCTGTCTTTTTTATTGGCTGCCTACCTCAGAGTGCACTGATTGGATCATATGGTAGATGTATGTTTAATTTTTTAAGAAATCGCCAAATTGTTTTCCTAAGTAGTTGTACCATTTTGCATTGCCATTAGCACTTTATGCGACTTCTAGTTGCTCCACGGCCTTGCCCCTACAGTCATGCGTGACTTAACAGTGGGGATGTATTCTGAGAAATTCATTGTTGGGTGATTTTGTCATTG